CTTTCCCCAAGTGTAAGGCTTGTGCTGAACCCCACTGCTCCCTCGTAGATGAGAGACTGTCCCCTGACTGGGCTGGTGAGACAGCAGGTCTCTCTTTGAGGTGGTGAGCTATTGGCCCTGTTCCTCTGGGACTTGAAGTAAATGACACAGAATCTTACCATCTGGAGAGGACTTGGTGAGGGAGAGCCCAGAAAAGCCTCCAATAGAATTGCTTCCTACATATTTGTCACTGGACGCCGAGTTTGTGCCTTAGCCTCTCCAAGCCTGTTTCCTCATCTGTAAAGTGGGTTTAAGAGTCCCCACCACAGGCAGGTGTTTTGATAATTAAATGGGAAACTGTGTCTAAGACAGGCAGCAAGCACATCAGAGTTTTCTCAAAAAGAACACCTCCCTGGGTCTTTGCAGCCCCGCCCTTGAGCTCAAAGACACCCAGACAAGGACAAAGCTACAGGCACGGGGCACTCAAGCCTCCAAAAGAGAGAAATTTAAAACTGGGACGGGATGAAGGGACATAAAAGGAGAGGAAGAGGAGAATTAACAGGATGCAGCGATACTGCCAGGCCCCTCACCCATGCCCGTGGCAGAGGGCAGAGCCTCCCCCACGCCTGAGACGGTGCATGTTCTCTGGTGGGTGTGAGGCCCCAGAACACTCACAGGCACGTCTGAAAACACCGGCAAACCATGCCACGTACGAGGGAAATGCTACTGTGTCTTCTTTTCCACTGTGAGATATCTATTTTTCCCATGATTTTTTAAATGACAAAGCCAATGTGGGAAGAGTGCAACCATGTACCTGGGGTGGGGGACGGATGAAAGGCAGGCACGCAAGTTTCTTCCTGGCAAAGCAACTAGGAAATACAGAAGGGTGCCACTTGTCCCCCATGAGGGTCCCTGCTCCAAGGTCCCTACTATCCCATTGCTGACCTCAGTAGCCCCCCTTGAACACAACATTCCAGCCACTCAGAACCTTTTTTGGTTTCCAGAAGGCTATTCTCTCACCTTCGTGTGCTATTCCTCCTGCCTGGTACACTTTCCTCACCTCTTCCCCAGCCATCTCTCATCCTATAGGGAGCTCAGCTTAGTTAGACATTACCTTCTACAGAAAGCCCACAAGATTTACCCCTTTCAGCTAGGTCAGGAGCCTCTTCTGGGCCCCAGGGTCTGTGGCCTTCCACTATCACAGCAGCGATGACTCTGGGTCTGTGTCCCCCATGACACACATCTCCAAAATAGGCACATGATAAATACAGGGAGTGTGAAATGTTTGGAAGAAGAGATTATTATGTGGCCTTGGGACCATGGAGAGAGGGGTGGAGGTCCAAGTCAGGGTCAGCATTTGAAAGAACATTCTAAGAATTTTAGCTCACTATCCAGCCTGGGTTGCCTTGGTAGGTTATGAGCTGCTCATCACAGGAAGGTATGCAAGCAGGTGTCAGAAACCACTTCTCTCAGCCCCTCTCCTTCACACTCAGAGCCAAGGCTGCACCCAGTCCTCCCCCTAGGCCTTTGTCCAGTGTCTCTGCCCCAAACTGTCCATGTGCCTCCCTCCTATTCCCTCCCCTCATTCCTAGTCTACCTGGGGGAGGGGGCTGCTGCAGTGGGGGACCACAGGGGCTATTCTCACAGTCTTGGCCAGCCCAGCCCATTCCTCGGAAGGCCTCCCAAGGCCCTGAGAAGGCTCCTAACACATGAAAACCTCAGAACGGGTCCCACCTAGGCTAATCAACATTGCATCGCCAGGACAGGCATCACGCAGGGGCCACGTGCACAGCGTGGGCTGGCGTATGCTCAGAGCCTTGTACGAGCTCAGCCCTAGCTGTTCCCACCTCACCTGGAGTAAAAGCCAAAAAGTCATGCACACTCTGCCCCCATCTCTCCCACTTGCTCTCCCTCCTCTTCTCAGCCGCACTGGCCTTCTCGCTGCACCTCTACATGCTGGGTGTGTTCCCACCTCAGGGCCTTTGCACAGGCCATTCTCATTACCGGGAACACTCTTCCCCAGATACCAGTACAACTGCTCCCTCTCTTTATGTCCGTGGCCTTTTCTGTCCCCAGGGGAGAGTCCCTGCACCTGCCCGGGGTCTGTGTCTGGAGCCTCCTCAACCCCATATCCTCAGGGCCATCCAAGGCCCCTGGAACTTGGCCTTAAAGTGCAAAGAAAGGCATGTTATCAAGGTATCCTGAGACTGGGCACCAGCCTCACCAGTGATTCCATTCCCAAGGCCAGTCTTCAGGAAAGGGGGGGGGGGGTCCACCTCTTCCCCATCAGCAGAGCCCAGAGCCCCCAGCCACATGCTACATCCAATATACACCCACAGTGAGTGCAAACAGGTCTAGAAAGGAGAGATGCAGGTGGGGAATAGAAAGACAGAGCAAAACACAAAACGAGAAACACAGAAAGGAGGAAAGGTGCGGGGAACCGATCATCACTAACTGCACCCCAAGGCATCCCACACGACACCTAGCTCCAGCAGACAACAGCCTAAGGTCTGTTCAAGCTAATCGCCTGCGACAGACACTGCATCATCCTCAGCAGCTGGACTCCCCAGGAGCCACCCCAGCCCTCCACCAACCTTGGACCGGCAGGGCCCTACAGCAGCCAAGGACAACTGCTGACAACCGATGACCTCAACAGCCCAGCCTTGGCAAGGACAAGTCTCACCCTAGACCATGAACCCAGCCTGCACAGGCCTCACAGGCCAGAGCCCTATCACAGGACAGCTGTCCCAGCTCTTTACAACAGCTTCTCCACAACAGTCAGACCCATGCAACGAAGTTGGACCCCCAGCGATGACCCCAACCCTCCCTAGCCAGAACCCAGGGACAGCTACCCCAAGAGCCACATAACAGCCAGACCCTGCTCTCTCAGGAGATGTCCCAAGTCCCTGAGCGCCTCCCAGGCCCACCACACTGCACAGCCCACTCTGGCCAAGGGCTGTGTAACGACCAAATAGGCCCTTGGCAGAGGTGCATGTAGCCTAGGACTGTCATTCAACTTGTGTAAAGAAGCAGGGCTGGTGACAGCAGCTGCAGCACGTGGGCAGGTGATGATGAGTTTGGGGAAATCTGAAAGAGGTTCAGAGTAGCTGGTAGGAAAGATCTTGCAGGTGATTCTGGTCAAAAGGATTGCAGGGGACAGAACACGGGCCTGCAGACCGGGGAGGAGCCGGGGGTCACGCATCAGGCAGGAGACATCCACAGGAGGGCAGGGGTGAGGGCAGGTTGGAGAAACTGAGCGACCTTGGCTTGGGGGAACAGCGGCACCTGGTGGTAGCTACGGGGAAACGCACTCCCTTTCGTTGGCGCATTTGCAGTCATTTACTGTGTTCCCAGTGTGTTTGAAACCCAGAGTGGGTCACTTTTAACACCTTCTTGCTATAAAATTATTTTCAGCAATAATACTAAGATGAAACAAATAATAATGGTGACCATGCAAGAAATGCAGACAGTGAAAATGTATTTCCTGTCTGACATAATACTTTCTGTAATGATGTAAGTATCTAGTAACTCACAAGTAAATTTAATAAAACTGAAATATCTGTAAACAGTACAATTTGGGAGGCCACGAAATTGTACCATTGATGTGATTTTTTTCATGATTTGTTCATTAGTTTTAAAACACTTAAAAACAGTTTGATTTTAACAATGGTGTTCAAATTTAGTAACATAGTTCACGTATGAACTAATAGGCATTTTCCAACTAAAGATATATCTCATGGTTTCAAGTCTTCACTGATTTACATTTTAAACACAAATAAAATCTCCAAGTGATCAACGGAGAATGACCAGATGGAATTAGAGTTCCAGTCTTTACCTTTACAATCCCTGTGCTTTGTCTGTTTTGAATTTAAATGCAGTCAGATAGTGTTTGGCAGGCTCAGAGACTCACAAACAATTCCCAACCTTTACAGACTTACTCTCCAAACTGCACACACATAGCTCAGAGCCATCATGTGTCTGGAGGAGTCGGCTGTATACCTGGGGGCATTCTGAACTGACTCCCATGTAGGATACAAAGTTAATTAAAGAATGTGCTAATATGAAGCTTACATATAAAGCATTAAAACTCAACATTAAATGGTAAAATCACAGCAAGGTCTGTACCTAAGTTAATAACCCCAACGTCAATTTCCTGGTTTCAACAATATACTCACAGGTCAGGAAGGCTTGTGGGTCTGCCCTCCAGCGTCAACCATCTTGGCCTCACACTCCCACTCAGCACAACAGTAAAAGCTTCAGCCCTCCCTCGTGGCTCTACAAGTAGCCACAGACATTCTAGATCTCCACCAATGAGGAGAGTCATCTTTTCAGTAGCCACAGAGTCTCCTTGCCTTTCCTGGGCTCTACGTGGGTCTCGTGCAGCCCCTAAGCCAAGGGCTCCACACAGCCACACCAAGATAATGAGGTATTGGCTGGGGACTGAGGCTGGGGCCAATCACAGCTGAGGAACGGGAGCGAGTACAGGAAAGAAATGCAGGCAACTGGCTCCATTTCACCTTACATGTTGGGTTCTGTGCTCCAACACCCCAATTTCCCATTTTGAGAAATTGAAGGAACAAGAGCTTAGGAACAGGTCTCCTGAGCAAGACAGCTGGCATTTGGGGGCACCAGGTGATGAAAACTCCAGCTATGACTGGTCCCAGGAGGAAGGTGGGGCAGCTGAGCAGGGTACTGGGTGGTAGAATCACCTGAAGACACTTTAAAACACACCCATACAGGGGTGTTGGGGCGGGCGGCATCAGTCTTTGTTAGTCTCCCTAAGTGATGCCACCATGCAATTCACAAAGGTCAGGGAGTTGAGGCCCAACTGCACATACATCCCCTGGGCCCCCCATACTCTCCTGCTTCAGTTTCTCTTTCGGCCACAGCCCCTCACTTGCATGGAGATGTCCCTAGGCCAGAGAAGTGGGAAAACCAGCCCCACGAGGAAAGCCGTTTCCAGACACTTATCAACCTCTTTGCTGGTCCCACCCTCACCCAAAAAAGATGAGAATCTCAAACAAGAGAGAAGCTGAGTTTATTCCAATGACTGAGGTCTTGCCACCTGAGGTCTCCCCGTCTTCCCCTTCAGGGCCCAGAGGAAGGAGGGGTCTTTTTTATAAGCAACACCCCTCAGCTCAGAGGCCCCCAGTAGATACCAGCCAAAGACCAGGCTACATGTCCCCCCTCCCTGGGGCTTCCCAACTCCCCAGCCAGAGAGGACAGGTGACCAGGTAGGCAACGCTAGAGCAGTGCGGGCCTGAGGCCTCAGCTGGTCCTCCCGCAGCCCAGTTGCTGGGCAACAGGAGCTGAGCTGGCCCAGCCACGCTGGAGCTCCTGGGATGGGGCCAAGGGCACAGAGAAAGGCTGGGGCACCAGCGCTGTGGCCCCAGGAGGCTGGCGCTCAGGCACAAGCAGCCTCAGCCCCCTTCTCGCAGTCTGGGGGGGCCTCAGCCTTGCTCGCCAAGCTGTAGTAGTAGGTCCGCATGCGCTGCTCCACCGTCAGGAAGTCTGGACGGTCCTCCCACCTGTTGGGGGGGACAGGTCCAGTCCACTGACCACACGGCCAGAACCCAGCTTCAGCTGACAATGGACACACAAGGGGCTGAGAAAATCGTCAAGGCAGTGGAGCACTGGCTAATGGAGCAGTCTCTAGGGTGTGAGAACCAGATTCAGGGGTGCCTAACAAAAGAGCCACTGGCAGGCAGGATGGTGGGTGTTAAGGAATAACAACTTGGGGAACTGAAGCCACTGAGTGTTAGAATGACAATGTTGACCGTGGGGAGCTAGGCTGTTGAATGCCGAAGCACAGAGCATGTGAGGTGCCCGAGGCCAGGGCATCTGGGTGCTAGGTGCAGGCTTACAAGGGCACAAGTTTGCTGCCTGTGATGGAGCAGCAGGATGCTGAAGGTGGCCTGGCTGGTGGAGAGCTGGGGTATGAATGGTGCTATGTGTGGAATACCCATGAGTTATGTTGGGGTATCCAATGCTAGGCCTCTTTGGATGCTGGGGTGTTGGTGTACTGGGTGTTTCCTGATGGGGGCAGGTTAGGGCATGTTAGAATAGGACCACTTATTATTTATCATAAATAGAGTATCTACTTATTGGATTGCTTGTGTGTCTGGGTGTCTGTCGGTGTCTTAGGTGTTGGCAGTGGAATTGAGGGTGTGGGGGAAGAAAAGGCAACAAATGTTGCCTCATGCACACACCGCATAGTCAGTGTAGGGTGACAGCTTATTTGGGTGTGCGTTGGATGTCGTCTGATGGGAAGTTGGGATATTGATGGTGGCAGGAGTTGGTGTGTTTGAGTGTTAGACTTCACCCAGAGGTGAGGTTTTGAATATATTGAGGGTTTGTGTGCTTTGGTTTTGGTCTGTCTGGGTAAATGTCCAGGGACTGAGGAAGTAGATACTGGAGTATTATCCCACACCTGAGGGTCAGTAGCCTTTTTGGGGTAACAGCATACTATCTTGGTTGAGCATTGCAGGACTGATGTGCTGCTGAGTGCTGGCTGTGGGGCACTGAGTTTTAGATGCTGGAGCACTGGGTGTCCACAGGGGGCTGTGGCCACTGGAGGGTCAGTGTGTCAGAGAGTCGAGCACAGACGCAGGGAGACTAATGGTGCTAAGTGTTGGCAATGCTGGGAACTGGTGAGCATCTCTAGGCGGGACGACACCAGGGGGTCAGCTGAGACCTCCCCACCCAGCTGTCCTCACGGCCACGCCCCCCGCCCACAGGTACTCACCTGTATGTCCAGCAGTCGCTCATGAGTGCGTACATTTCAGGAGGACACTCTGGCGGGCACTCCATCCGCTTACCCTTCTCGATGAAGGAATTGACCTCGGGGCCCTTCATCTTCTGCTCAAGCGAGAGCCACATGCACACGTCAGTGACCAGGGCTCCTCACCCCCTCCCACCTAGCAGCCCACCACCTCTGCCCATGCCTGCCTTGTATGGCTTCTGGCCGTAAGAGAAGGCCTCCCACATGGTGACCCCATAGCTCCAGACGTCGCTGCGGCTGGAGAACTTGCGGAAGTTGATGCACTCGGGCGCATACCACTTGAGTGGCCACTTTCCAGCCGAGCGGGCCTGGGGAGGAGGAGATGCTGCCAGGGCGGAGCTTGGGGACCCCCCACCCACCTGTCCCATCCACTTGGGCACCAAAGGGGTGGGGACTCACAGTGTAGTAGCTGTCATCGGCACCCAGGGCCTTTGAGAGGCCAAAGTCACTGATCTTGGCGTAGTGCCGGTTGACCAGAAGGACATTGCGGGCCGCCAAGTCTCGGTGCACAAAGTTCTTCTCTTCCAGGTACTTCATCCCCATGGACACCTGGTGCAGCAGCTCCACCACATTGCTGACAGGGATCTCCTCCCTGGGATGCAGGGGAAAGCAGGGTCAATGGGGAGGGGACAGCCCACATTCCCAAGGAGGCCAAGCCCACATCTCTGAACCAGCCGGGCAAGTGTTCATACTTATGAAGCAACTGCTGTGTGCCAGGCACAAGGCTGTGGACACTGCAGTGAACACACAGGCAAAGCCTCTGCCCTCGTGTGGTCTCAAGGCTTTAAATTCCACCCACGTGCTCCAATTCCCAAATTTGTACATTTGCCTGCATCCTCCATGTGCCCTGAGGAGGGTGTCACGGGCACCTCAAAGATAATAAGGCCAAAGCTAAGCTCCAGATTGTTACACACACACACACGCACACACACACACATGCACACGCACACGCACACGCACACGCACGCACGCACGCATGCCGC